CCTATAGGGTGATTTAAAAAAACAATAAATAATATCAAACAGCCATGTTCCAACCTATTCTGCTGCTATAAGTTACTTTTCCCCCTCTCCTCCTGGAGATTTCATGCCCCCCCTCCCTCCGCGAGGAGGGACCTCGTGCACAAACTCTGACGTGCGGCTGTGATTTATAAAGATGCACAGAAACGTGCGTACGCACTGTTTTATAAATCTGAATATTTTTTGGCGTACGCCATTTCCGCCTTTTGGCCGTATGTTCACTTTTAGTATGGTTTCCACGCAATCCTTTATAAATGAGACCCCTGGCAATTATGGTCAGATATTATATAGACACAGTCAAAGCCATAATTTTTAGCATTAATCTTGAATTCTGACTTTGTGTCCAGGAGAAATTTTGTAAGGAATGGGTTTTTTTTATGCCTGGAAGGGATGTAGTTTAATGGGGTACCATCAGAATTGCTGGTACTTTTTATGCAGATAAACATGGTATATCTCTTGGACTAAATTTCAAAGCAAATTAATTCAGATACAAAACTTTAAATTCAGTTTCAATTAAGTAAAATTTATTTTCAAACCAATGCATTCAATTTCAAATTATGCACATACAGATTCAATCTGAGCAATTTGAATTCAATTCCTGCTGGCACAAGGTTTATCCCATAAATACTTGTGTCTTTTTTTGATACCGTAAATAAACGACCAGACTGCTAACATGGCTTACTACTTCAGTTATTCCTGGCTGCACAGCATCACTAACACTATCAAGATCAAATCGATACCACTCAACCAACCATTTCCCCTCCCAAAACAGAAACCCTACTTGTCAACCCCTCCAGACATTTACCTGTATAATGAGCCTCAAAAATTCGTAATTTTTGCAAAAAATCTGTACTACTCACACCCGCATATGCACGCGGGGGTGGTGGGGGGGCTGTTGGCTGCGGAGATGACAGTGCCTGCTGCAAAGCACGAGGAAAGGAGAACGAATTTGGAGAATTTATTTCTTAACGGCGAACAGGTTGGAAGCTGATTATTTGATGTTACTTGTTTTTTTAACATCCTACAGGCTCTGACATGTCAAATAAATTTGAACATGAGGTTCTGAAAAAATCCGTGAGATTGTTGWACACGTCCGTATACCTGCAAAATGATGGAAAATCCAGGTAAATTACAGACAATTCGTACAACTTGACATGTATGCAGACACACAAAGCTAAAAAGTGGGAAATCAATATCAGACGGTAATAATGGGTAGGGCTTTGTATTGGTAAGAATTTGGCAAAATKATTCATATCATGACAGAGGGGTTGTGATATGATACAGCTGGTAAAATAAGTATTGAACACGTCACCATTTCTCTCAGTAAATATATTACTAGAGGTGCTAATGACATG